CAGGTGGTACCGACAGACAAGGGAGACTGGAATGGCCACTTCTGGCATATTAGCCGTCATCAGCCAGTCATACCCAACCCCGAAGTGTGGAACACCCGAGGCTCGCGACCTGTTAGTTAGAAGTCAACGCCTCTAACCACTGGGCCACGAGCCCGTTGCCCTGTCGGTTTCGGTCCGATGTTTCGATCTCTTACACGACCCCATTGTACAGAAACGAAAATCTGTACAACTCATCGCATATTTAGCTCACTTCTGTCGAGGATTATCCCCAGCCACGCTGCTGATTTGTTTATCCGGTGCTTGGTAAATGATTGGCAGATCGATACTTTGCTTAGTCGAGTGCTCAGTTTAGTGTCACGTCTTTTGCAGCACGCGCGCAACTCGGTTGTTCGACGGACTCCATTTTCTCACGCGCTCAAAGTCAAAGCCGTGCGCTGGTGCGAAGTCGTAGACGGCTACCAGGGGAGTTTATCCCTCCGTCTCATAGTCAACTTATTATTATGCAATCTCGTACAAATCTGTTTGCCGGTTTCACCAGCATAATTGGCTTGACCGCAATTTCAGTCTATCCGGTAAATGATCGGGGATTTCTGATTGATCGAAATCGGGTCCTTAGGGGGCATGACTTGTCTGGGGATTGTTGCTTCAGCCGAACGTGATTTGCACAAGCGGCGGCAGCTGGTCGGCCCATCCGGTTAATAGGGAAGGGCAAACGGGCACGCACACCCCGCAGTGGCAACGACGGCCGGGCAGGGAACAGAGGTCAAACGAGTGAGCTAGCGGTCTCCCACGGAGAGACCAAGGTCAATCTCCAGCCAGAATGTTGGTCAGAGTTCGTGCGTTAGGCATGCTTGCAACACGAGACAGGTGGCGAGACAGAAGAGCTTGAGCTAGGAGGAACAGACACGCCACCACTCTGATGCTGAAAACGAGAAAGTACAGGCCGGAGTCGGTCAAGCTATGATAGCAGAGAGGAGACGACAGAGTCTGGGGGATATATTGATACAGAACTGTTTCGGCCTTGTTTGCCCTCATTTGGCCGACCATAACCTTGGCCGCCAGTTGGGACCGAAAAACAAGCATGCGCTCGCACACTTAGCGCAACTAGTCCACCACTGGGGTCTATCAGATGGACCATAAGCACTTTAACGACCCGAAGTTCATTAGTATCTCGCCACTTGCTTTTGTCTGTCGTTGTAGACCGTTCTTCCACTCATGTGTACAATAATTGATATGTTGACATGAAAAGACAAGGCTCCTCAGGAAGTCGGCTGCACCCGTGAATTTTCAAATTGCCAACACCAACCCCTCGTCAGACGAAATTAACAGAGGAGAAAGTCAGACCGTCAGACTAGCTCGGTTGGGACGACGGGACAGACAGCGACGAATATGCAACTGTTGCATGAGGGGGTGGACGCATAATTACGGTGGAGTTTGGTACACAGGAAGGGAGGACTGTTGCGGCTCCCGTGTTGGAGGGGATGGGGAATCCCGATTCAGTAGGACTGCATGCGGCTGGATTAGGAGTTGTCGATGCGGCATAGGGACAGGAATCAGTACGCCGGTATCGGTGTCGTGGTTTGCAATGTCTGGGAATGGGGTGGTGAGACAGTGAGAGTCTATATGGCTCAGCATAGATTACTGGCTTTTGTTAGGGCATGGTCACACGTCTGTGAACCATGTGCGCAGACCTTCGTGATGAGCGTTCAAGTCGGCAAGGCGGTTGATGCCGGTCATGTTGAAGTGCCGGGCCCCGAGGAACTCTCACGTCTCTTTAGTATTAGTCATCAAAGGCAGTGCCTAGTACCCTAAATAAACTTCTAAATTACATGGCGATCACTTCAGTACCGTCCCAATGGGAGCGGTGGCCACTCAGGTGCATGCTCAAACACCAGTGACATGCCTTATATGCAAGGAGTTTTTGAAACAATCCCCCGACAATAAAGCCGCCTTGGTATCCTCCCTACGCTCAGCATTATGCCAAGTAAAAGATCCCAAACATAAACAATCAACCAGTGTCATGTACCGCATCCCTTGCGTCAACTGCCCTTGTGTTTACGCCGGACACTCGGACCGATGTCTTTGTTCTCGCACAAACAAACATAACATTGCCATTCGTTGACGTGATCCCTTGTCACCCGTGTTCGAGCTTAGGGAGAATCCCGGCTTTTAAATAGTGGAGGTGCGAAGGCGATTTGATTTTCGAGGGATATTTTCAGAAACCCTTTGCATGTACGCCAGGTCAGTCGTGTCGTCCTGGCCTCCTACCAATAAAGCGATTTAGGGGAGATTTACGGGCTTACTCTTGCTTATATGTCCTTTGAAAAGGTCTTGGTGATCCGAAGGCGACAGTCGAAAATTGTTCTGCCTACTGGATGACCAACAAACCCATGCGAAAGTAGTTCGCTTATATGGCCAGTATGACCGTTCGTTTGGGCAGTTTTCAATCATTCTCGCATTTTGATTTTCTCAGAAATTAATTTCGAACTTGGAGTAGATCAGTTTATTCAAGGTGTATAGGCTCCAATCGAGAATGTTTATGTATGAGCATTTAGACCTTGAATACACTGATCTACTTCAGGTTCGTAGTAAATTTCTTAGAAAATTAAAAAGCGATAATTTCTTTATTGGAGTATCTACCAGAAAACAGACCGGCAATGCTGGGAGACCCACTGACAAGTCGAACCCCTCGCAGCTGTGGCATGCAGCGGCAGAATATCGGCGAAGCACGCGTGTATGGGTTTTTGACTAGTACCTGCGCTGTTAGTAAGTTATCACCTTAGGCCAGAGTTTTAAATTAGTCGGATAGCCTTAGTGGGGCCTGGTTCGGGCATCTGAGGTGTCATCACCATCAACGCCGCCGCTCTTTCTTAACTGCCCACATTTTGCAGACATGTCTCTTTCACCAACAGGCTGACCTGTGATTTATTTTGCCATCATCTGCGGTTTTTCCGGTGACTCCTTTCGCATGCACGGTGGATGCAGTCTTTTGGACGTCTACAACCACATACCACTCACCTCTGGTTAGCCCAGGGAAGAGTTGGCCAATATTATTAGTAAGACACGGGATTCGAACGGCCCGGCTGTTGTTGCTGACGATGTCCACCGTGTGTTCCATAGGGAGGCAAAAGCAGGCACGGAGACCTTTGCTGCATCTACCGCACTCTCTCTTCCTTCCCCGCCTGGACCCTATTTCGAGACAGGCAAGAAGACCAGAGGCGGCGGAAGGCGTAGGTGAATAGCTCGATGGAGCCCTCACCTTGGCGTTCCACTTCGTACCTCCTGATCCATTTGGCAAATAATAAAGGTTTTAACTAACCACAACAATGGGTGGATGGCATGAATGCCAATGTGCACGACTTCTGTCGGCAACTGAGTCTGCCACCGCACCCCGAAATGTTGGCATTCGTTATGGTGCCCATTCCGATTACGTTTGCCGGAATCCGATATGACCCTCGTCCAGCGCATCTACCACGTAACCCCTTTTGGGGACACTAAGGCACGGGAAATGGACTCCCGTATTACAGGTGGCCTTTCGCTGCATTCCTGGGCTGTCAGGATTATAAGGGTTTGGGTTGGAGTTAACGTCGGTGCACAGAAATGAGCACCTATAGACACCAGCCAAGGTTGTCTGTAGTACGGGGATCATTATCTCCGCGCCCAACCATCTTCCTGAGTCAAAATCGTCGTCTGGCTGGATTTGCAAGACCATCGAAAATCAATGGGAAGAATGCATGCTACTTAAGTAGTCATTTTTTACCGAGTACAGTTTCTGCAGGAGATTAAAAAACAATGTATTCGAAAGCTGACATACTGCCGGTCCGAATTGTTATAAGATTATGCCTTAAGATAATTAGTCTTACAACCGCGACCAAGTAATCCTTCCTCATCGAAAACGCATTTCAGAATTGCAGCCGACTTTTCATGAAATCGGCCATTCACCGAATAAGGAATATAGGAAGTTTCCTTTCCAATTACTCGTCGCATCCCTGTAAGTAAACAATGAACATTTATGTAACGTAGCTGAGTCTTTATCCCGTTCCTTACAAGCAAGTCGTGGGCCGCTGAACAGTGAACTTTCCCCATCATCCCTCACACTCAAGCCCATCGCATCCGTCAGTGTTTCTCAAACAGTTGCTTCCTTCGTGTGGCCTGCAGTCAGAAATTGTCGGTGCTCTTTGAAGTTTCGGTGATGAAGTCTAGGGTCCTTAAAGCCATAGCCATTTTCTTCCTGACGCGATGATGTCATGCTTCGTGCGAAAAAAAGCCTGCCCTCCTTAGTGCGGCGCATGTTGTAGTCGTGGCAGCAATACTGTCCACCCTGTCGCAAGGCACCGCTTGTGTGACCAGCAAAACTGTTCTTGGAATCTATAAACTATCAAGGCATGACAGACTGCTCGACCGTCGCAGGCGACAGCTTCCGCTGGACGACCCAAATAGTGAACTCAGAAACGGTTACTTGCGTAGGATCTATCGCACCATCTTTTGTCCCACCCACTTTGCCCGACGGCTAAGTAGTGCTAAGACGACAAGAGGTGGGTTCGAGCGCGGTGGCTGATGGGGCTAAACCTCCCATCTACGCGTGCCACTCACGTCCTGACGCACACGCAAGGCGTGCTGAGTTGTCATGAGGGCGACTCGGAACTCAAATGCGTGAATGTCCTTAAGGTCAAGTTAAGAAGGTGCCGTTGAAGCCTAACCCGCAGTCATGGGAGAAACCGAATTGTCCTGTGGCAGTCCACGCTTTCTCGCTCTTCGTCGTTTCGTCTACAGTGGATGTGCTCACTAAAAATGTTGGTCAAAATTCTGAAATGGGTTTTCGACCCGGAAAGATTACTTAAGTAGTGTTGAGATATTAATTATCCTGTAGCATAATCCCGAGATATTTCAGTTACCTCGGGATGCTGACTTTTGAACGAACTTCTTTTCAGCTGCCAGTAAGAACTACATCTGGTAAAAAATGAATACTTAATTAATGGGAATTTTTTCACTGATTTCCGATGCCCTTGTAAGTTCAAATATATTTAATGAGAAACATGCATAAACATAGCCATTCTTTCGCTCGTTTGGTAAAAATGTACGTCTCTGTTCATTGATTTTCGATCCCTTTGTAAGTTCAAATACATTTAATAAAAAGATGCATACAATTTGCGTTCCTTCGCTCATTTGGTAGAAAATTACGTCTATTATACTTGAAGGAAGGTTATCATTCGGCTTTAAAGGAGTTTTTATTTCGAGTTTTTTTTATGACCGTGACACGTCCGTTCGTAAAACATCGTCTCTCTGAATTTACTTATGTGACTTGTAAAGTTTAGATTATGACTCAAATCCACAGCTTCATTTCATGAACCCCACACGGTCTTCTCTTAATAGCGTATAGGAATGTATGGTTTTCCGTAAACGGGAAATGTGCAGCTTTTGCTTTGGAGACCCTGAATGCAAGTGTACCGGCAGGTCGAGTTTGAAATTATTTGGGAATTGGAGTTTTTTAAATCCAGTTACACCCTTCCTTCAAGTATAAGAGTTAAAAGAGACGTAATTTTCTATCGAATGAGTGAAAGAATGGATAGTCTTATGCATGTTTCTCATTAAATATACTTGAGCTTACAAGGGCATCGAAAAACCAATGGAAAAATTCACGCTAATTAAGTAGTTATTTTTTACCAAGTGTAATTTTTGCTGGTGGCTGAAAAGAAGTTCGTTCAAAAGTCGGCATGCCGAAGTAACTGAAATATCTTGGGGTTATGCTGCAAGGTGATTAGTATTACAAATCTACTTAAGTAATCTCTTTCGACTCGAAAAGGCATTTTGGAATTTCGGCCATTTCATGAGTCCGTACACCTGCTGTAGCTGACCTGCAGTCCACCTCACGCTCTCTGTCGATTCGCTGCTGGGTCCGCGCTAGGCTTTTCACTAACATCGCGAGTTCTCGAAGCCAATCAACGCTGTTCCCAACTCTGATTGGCTGGCTGGACCCTGAGACAGAACGAACGGCGCGCACACGCGCTGGGGGCTAAATACCTCAACGGCTGACACAGGACAAACAACTTGCCTGGAGAGACAGTTTTTGGCAATTGCATGCAGAGCTTCTTGTACGCTCATACAGTAAAGTCCTTCGACCCAATCCGTCTTCCCTGATTTCCGAATTGGGAACCGTAGTGTGTCAATCATGCCAACTGTCGACAATCCGGTCGGTTTGCACTCCACCAAGCCGTTGCTCAACGTATCATGACAGCGTCAATTTGCCGTGAGAATAGATTACCAGCATCGGCCTCATTCGCCGCCCCCCCCCCCTCCATTGCTTTGCACTTTAAGCCTCCGCCAGTTGGCGGTGGGATTAAGCGTAGCAGACGACCCGTGTCACATATGGCCTAGTCTCCACTCCATTTGTACCAGAATAGACGAAAGGACGTGCTTCATACTCGCGTGAATGTGCATGTTTTGAAATGTGCGATGTTTTGCCCGCCATCTTGGCGGTGACGACAGTGATTGCATGATTGCTACTGGCGAAAGGTGTGATGTTGTGGGGGTAGCGCGCAGAACGGAAGTGGCCTAGAAATGTGTGCTTGCGTGCGCAGGTAGGACGAGGTGTAACGATGGGTTCGAGGCCGCGGCGTTACCGCAAATTTATTCATGGAGGAAGCAATGATAGAATTTCCGTTGGCAGGGTGAACGGGTGCGACGGGTGTATGTTGGGGCCCCTTACACTGGTCCGCCAGTCCCGGTTCGATGGATTTGCAAGTGTCTGACCAGGCCAATAGCGGAAAAAAGTTTGCAGTGTCATCAAGAAGAGGATGGGAAATTGGCTGCTGATCCGATGGTGGTGTCGATACTCCACACGAAGACCACAACCAGCCTAATTCGAGCAACAAATGGGCCAGGAAGGAATTTGGACACGCTGCAGGTTATTGGGGCCTGGCGGAATGCAGCGTTTGGTCCCAGACGCAGCAACAGGAGCAACTGTGTGGTGGAGATATAGGACTGCTTATCAGAAGGTGGCAGAACTATCCGAAGAATCGGGGATTGTGAGAGGAACGATGAAGTTGTTAGTGTCGTTAGTGGGAATGATCATGTTGGTGGTGGTGGTGGTGGTGGTGGTGGTGGTGGTGGTGGTGGTGGTGGTGGTGGTGGTGGTGGTGGTGGTGGTGGTGGTGGTGGTGGTGGTGGTGGTGGTGGTGGAACGGATTTGGGATGTTGGAGGGTAGTTTTTTCGGGATGGTATTCCAGTGAATTCCGCTGCCCTGGCCAAAAAGACTAACGCGGTCTCGGAGTGTTCCGGGATTTTGTGGTTAAAAAGACGGAGGGGTTGATGATGATGATGATGATGATGATGATGATGATGATGATGATGATGATGATGATGATGATGATGATGATGATGATGATGATGATGATGATGATGATGATGATGATGATGATGATGATGATGATGATGATGATGATGATGATGATGATGATGATGATGACGAAGACGACGATAATGATGGTGACGACGTGATGGCGGTGGCGATGACGCTTTCTGATACAGGAGGATGGATTGCCCTGTTAATAATGCACTATGTTCAATTTAAGATCATCTGGGGCAGTGCTCGATGGTCCAAAGCCCATTTCCAACCTCGTGCTGTTTTCGGTATGGGGTTAGACTATGGCTGGTTGATGACAACAGAGGAGCCAGAATCGACGCTTTAGTCCCCCACGTCGCCTGGTCCCTAATACCTTTAAATCATCGGAAGATTTTCGAAACCGTAAGGCCATTTGGGATCACCACATTCTGTCCTGTGTCATCAGCTCAGTCCGGTGACCGCACACCGAACAGAATGAAACAGGTCGGTTCGACTATAGTAAACGACGACATCCACCACCGGCCCAGTGACTTGTCCGCAATATCTCCGTACTGTCCATTTCTTCCTCCACCTTGCTCTGGTGGCTAGACCATCGGGGTGGGCTTGGATACAACGGCTGACAAAATTAAACAACCCGTCTACACCTGTCTCACCGGACCAAGTCTCCGTGAGTCTTCGAGGACGACTGAGGTCCCATCTATATGATACTCTTGTTTTACCTTTATTTGATGCGAATCGCCCAAAGAGTGTTTAATGCAGTCTTTCGATCCAACCAAGTATACCTTCCTTATCATACCCCTCCTCTTTCTCCTTATCTTTGATGGTAAGGTAGAACTACGTAGGCCTGTCACTTATACCAGCAGGTCGCCGGTCGTCAGCCTTGCCATGGACAGGGGTGGCAATTTGCCCTTTCTATTTCCTGTCTGGAGAGTCCAATTTTCGCGGTGACCCGTAGCGCCCCACCTCCGGACGCCTGCTGCAACACTACGCTTCTCGCGTGTATCAGCGGCAGTCTGGTTCTCGGCCAATCACAGTTCCCCAAACCGGCCAATAAACTTCAAGGCCGACCCGGACATGCCCTCGCTCGAGGCGCTCTGACGTCTGTGCTGGCGACGCCAAACATGTATCCTCGTTCGGCTGCCTACTTGATTTAACCTATTCTCCATTCATGCTGTATACATACCTGTATCGAAACACTGTCCAGTGGACCTTCAATTTCCCTGCATAATTTATGTCGTTTTGTCTAGCCCTATGACCCGGGCGGCACTTGGGGAACTCTCTTTCAACCTTGACATCTGTTTGAGGTATCTCCTGGTCCCGTTCTCGTCAGTCTGCCTGAACACTGGGTTTTGTCCTTTCCAGCATCGTTAATACCTGGCTATTACGAGGTTAATTAATGCTGATTACGTCCTTCTGCCCACTTGCTAATAGAAGCACAGAGGTGAGTTCCAAGAAGTAGTCGCGGAGAAGGAGACACGGTTGTTGGAGCAAGTGCTTTACTACCCTGACGTTTCGCGTTCTCACTCGGATCCATCATCAGAGACAGAGTCAGTTAAGGGTAGTGGAGGGCCCAGGACCTAGAATGAATTTGCTAGGCCGCTCCATGCATTTCATAGTTGGCAGCTCCCGAGTACATCACAAATCAACTGGCTAGGAGTTGAAGTATGCCGTTGCCATGCAGTTGCTGTGCGCCTGTATGCTGGTCAAGATTATCAACTCCCACGCTCATCGCACGCTGCCGGCGTGCGTGTGGACTATTGGGTGATTTGGCTTGCCGACATTGATACCGGGGACAGTGGTTATCCGCACGTTCCCCTCGCGGCTAACTAAATCTCGCGCTGAATTTGGAGCGGGGAGGTCGTTGCGCTTGTTGATTGATTGAGGACCAGAAAACCATCACTCGTGCAGTTTAAGTCTCACGCGGTTGTCGACTCTAGCAAGAATTTCTACTTCGTCAAACTTGAGCGTGCGGTTGGGTCCGGTCTAGCGAGCCGCTACTTGGGAATCATCGTCGTTCCCCCTTACTGCTGCCGCGTGCTCGGCCAACCTTGTCTGGAGTAATTTTTCGATTTCTGCGACATAATTGCTGTGTCCGCAACTGCACCAGACCCGGTAAACGGCCCCAGATGCCTCCTACCGTGTCGGTGGGTCTTTTGGCCTTGGATCCTTTGGCGTCTTACGGTTGCCTCCGGTCTGTGTGCAACTCCAATTCCAAGGGGCGTAAAGAGGCGGCGGACGACTTCCGAGACATTCATCACGTACGGGACAGCTCGCCAATATTTGAGGCCGGTTGGTCTTTTGGCTCTCGTCTCTTTTATGCAGGCACTGGCTGACGAAGTTACGCGGGTGGCCATTTACTCTAAGCTCCCGTCGAAGGTATTGTAATTCAGCAACATTGTCTTCCAGCTCATTGCAGTGTGTCTCCACCTGTTAGTATAGTGTCCCTATGTAACTGCGTTTGTGACTGATTGGGGGATTCCTCTTGTAGCTCAGTACTTGCGTCGTGTGTGTCGCTTTCCTGATTAGTTTGTTTTTTAAACAACCACAGTCGTTTCGGCAGACGGGGACATCAAGGCCAGCTGGTTGTTGGCCTCTTCCTCCGTCGTAAACTGAATGTCCGGGAAGACAGCGTTGGGGTGTTCTTTGGATTCAAGCACCCGACACTATTCGATGACGAGTCCAGAATTTCGGTCTGCCTACTCGCAGGCGAGACCCCAGTTAGTGAAGAAGACACTTCCGTAAAGAAGGCTGAGCAAGTTGGACGACCGATTTTGGCACCTACCAACCAGTTGAATGGCTTGGAAGTGTGCAACCGAGGCAATTCCTGCGAAGTAGAGAGATGTTCAATGCTCTACTATAGGTCATCTCCACGTCCTGCCTTGCAGGCCGCCATCATTACTGTTCGTGACAGTAGCCGCAGTCTTGGACACAGTGGAACAGACAGAGCAGAATGGTGGAATTGTGCGAAAACCTCGGTGTGGACGTTGCCCCCGTACACATAGCTGAAAGGTGTCACTTCGCAGATCGACTGGGTGTTGGTTGAACTTTGCACCTCACCTGACCAACTGATTCGCGACTAGACTTTCGCTTCGCCTGGGTTTGGTGGGCTTGACCAGTCGCGGTTCTCTGGACTCCAAATGCACGCACTGTCCACCAGGACTGCGCGGTGGCAGTGCTACGCATCCGCGTGGACGAACGAGAAGTGGTCTGATGTCGGACGTGTGTTCCGGTGAGGACCAAAGGTCGAGCGTTCAGAGGACGTAACTTTGCACAAATACGAAGAGTCGATCAATGGAGTGGAATAACTGAAACTCGTTCGTCTAAACAGACCACAAAGTGATTTCAGCCAGAGGAAATTCACCGGTTTTACTATGCTGGGGTCAAAACAGTGGAGATTTTGTCGACAAGACGGAGATTTCCAAATCAGTGCGTTATTACCGACAAAGACAAGGCAGACTGGAATGGCCATTTCCGGTTTATTAGCCGGCGTCAGCCAGTCATACCCAACCCTGAAGTGTGGAACACCTGGGGCTCGATTTCGCCATCTGTTAGAAGTCCAAACCATCTAACCACTGGGCCACGGGCCCGTTTACCTGTCGGTTTCGATAGGGAATATACAATACTGGGGGGGAGGCTCACCGATCGTTCTTACGGAACTCATTCGTTACGATGTGCTTTTCGGGCTCTCTCTTGAGCCCAACCAGCAGCCGCACAGCGGCGCATGATTTAGGCAGTATGTTCTTGCCGACAAAGACAAGGGTATGACTGGCTGACGACTACTAATAGGCCAGAAATGGCCATTCCAGTTTCCCTTGTCTTTGTTGGTAATGCCATTCTGCCTATATCATGCGCCGCTGTGCGCCTGCTGCTTGGGCTCGAGAGAGAGTCGTAAGGCACGACAGAACGAGTGAGCTCCGTAAGGACGATCGGTGAGGGCCCCCCTACCATTCCTATATCGGAAGCCAGGGAAGACGGGTTGGGCTAGACGGCCTTTTCTACCATGGATGTGCGTACACAGGGCTTTGCAAGCAACTGCCGCAAGCGGTCTCTCCAGGCAAGCTGTTTGTCCGCCGGGGAGGTTATTAGCCCCCACGGCGCGGATGTGCGCCTTTAGCTCTGTCTCACCTGTCGCCAACCAATCAGAGTGGAGGGCAGCATTGATTGGCTTCGAGCACTAGCGAGGTTAGTGACAAGCCTCGCGCGGTCCCAGCAGCGAACCGACAGGGAGCGTGAGGCGGACTGAAGGGCAGCACGACGAGGCGAAGGAGAGCAAGGAAGCGCGGATTGCCACAGTTTTAAGATGGCTACTCAGCAAATCTACATTCAGTAGTATTTATCTGTGTAACCATCACATTGTAGATCTTGTGGGAAATCTGCGAAACGGGCCTTTAACACTTGGAAGGTTCTGAAGGGAAGACGTTAAATAAAGCTGACAACACCAACCGACAGAACGCTCTCTACCGGCCCTTTGGGACTCCCCAACAAGTCAGCCTTCAACTCTCCCCGCGGCCTCTCGAACAGAATGACGGTGTGGTCTGCTAGCCTGCAGGTACAAAATCTGGTTACTTCACACCGCTGGCTGCATCATTTGTACTCATGGACCTATCCTCGCTAGTCGAAGTCCATATGGGGTTATGGTCTCACATCCAGTTACAACAGCGGCGGTGGTTCCAACCGCCACTGTCGATCTCGTCAAGACTGTAGTTGTCATATGTGGTTTACCCTTGTCCCAGTGGCACTTTTGTAATGTTCGCGTGAATCCGTTCATGACGAGGGAAGCTTGCACTGCATCCGCCCTCACTTTCTCCTCCTACGTCCACTATGTTCCTACGGCAGGACATAATTGAGACAACTGAAGGCGAGTGTAGACGCACAACTGCTAGCCCTCGCAAGCACGTGAGCCAGAATCTCGAATGCAAAATTTCGGGTGCCCGATAAAAGGATAGGAGCCGTTACAAGCCGGACACAATGATAACTGTGAGTTAGGTACACCGCTCTTCCATGGAGCTGCGGTCCCGTTGACCGGAGGGTTGTGACTGGGAATATTATTTACCGGAGAAGCGACGATGCCAATCTGCCACCCGATCGATGATCGACTCGCCTAGCGTAACTGATCTTTTCGATTTTAATCGCTAGGACAACAGGTCCGTGACTCAGTGCTAGAGTACTGAAGTCAATACTCAACGACCAAAGAGTCCGGGTAACAATCCAATATCATCCGAACGTGGGGTAGGATACGGGCGGCAGGCGAAGGCGGATAAGCGGGAACTGGTCATTCCAGTCTCCCTCGGGACCTCTTTCTGTGGAACGAGTACTATACAAAACTGATAATTTTCTTAGGAGAGTTGCGAAAGGGCTTCAGTTTGTGCATTTCCAGAGCGTACTAACAGCGTGTGCGATTCCTCAGATCCTCCTTGCCTTTTGACTGCCGAAGGCTGCGATCTGTGTGCGCTGCACCCAGCCGGTGGTCCGTAAAAAATAAGTCGGAGTGGGTACTGTATTTAAGCAAGTAGACAATATTGCGTAGACAATTTGCCGATGCGGGCTGAAGATTGGAGATGCACATGCCGATATTATACTTTTCCCACATCTTCACATCACTCACCTGAGGAACGCCGTCCGGGACTCAACGGTTCTATCCGCGCAGTTCCTGTTTATTCATTGCAGTCCCAGCTCCTTGGGGTACATCTGACGCACTAGTTTCCAGCTGCAAGAGTCAACATTGACATATGAAGCAGTGAAGTCGACGGGAGCCAACCTAATAGCAATGAAATACGAATCATAATTCTATTATCAAATCATTTCATGGTTTGTGTATGCTTTGTCTTGGGTACTCCTTGAAGTCCTGGAATTTACCCCTGCAGGATATGCGCGTGTTTTGATTACTTAGTTCAGTTTTGTACGATTCGAACGAACAGCCATACCCGAACTCATTGCGATTTCGACGGGTCTAAGTGCCGAGTTTGACGCCGAAGTGACCGCTTTTTCAATTTTTATTATGGTTCCAATGTCTGCGGAACCGGATCTTGTAATTTGCCTATTAGACCTGTCACTACAAATAGAATAACTTGGCAGCAAATCTTACGGTTTTCTGATGAGATGGTAAGGTTCACGTCGCACCCATTAGGATCTGAGCCGTCCCCATATTTATTGTTGTTTAAAATCTTGGCCAGTGTTTGTTGTGGACCAAAGGGTGTGGTTGTACGTCTAGGTACGGGTCCGACTGTGCCAGCCACCTGCATCCTCTCGCGTCTCCGGTCTTCTTGACTTGATCATGACACGGGGTTAAGGTGGGGAAGGAGGAGAGAGTGTGGTAGATGCTTCGCAGGTCTACTATCGATACAAGTCTCTGTTGCTGCTCCTACCCTGATCTGGGGTATACGGTAGACATTATCGAAATCGACGGCCATACTGTCGTCTTTCGATAAATACATTAGCCGTCTTCAAATTTGAGCTACTTTTTTCAGATCACTCATGCTCGTTCTAAGTCATGCTTGGACAGGGTTTCTGACTTCCCTTTAAATGCATCAGGACTTTCGGATGTATGCCCTATCCTACACGAATAACTGGCAGGATATGCAAAATGATGATAAAATGGGTAGTGTATTGGAAATAACCACTTGTCGTTATTTTTTAGGCACATTCAGATGTATGCAGGAGGCGACGAAACAGACAGTTTAAACAGGACACCTAGGTCAGTCAGTGGATACATTTCACGCCGCCTCTCCCCCTTCCCCCCTAGCCATCAAGTCCTACCTCGCTGGACTGAAGACACGGCCCTCCTCCTCAGGATTCAGACTTGCAACTATGCTTAAAGCAACCTTTTTCGGGAATAAGAAGGGATTTTATGGGCCATTTATCGTACTTGTACTGTCCGTCTGAATCCTATAACAGTAGATGGTTTTTACCGCCTTTCGGAGGCCGCTGGTAGTTGCATATCACCAGTGAGATAACGTTGTTGCCAAATTTATTAAATCGGCTTTTTCCTATTGATTAATAAATAACAGACTCAGGATGGCGAAGTTGACGGATCCGGAGAGATAACTTAAAATATGAAAGAGGTCATCAGAACATGTTTATTTCAGAATTGACGTTCCCGAGAGGTTGGCCGGCATACAACTCTCGAAGCCTTAGATGCCCAAAATCGATCTGAAGTGCAAATGACTTGCCGAGCCAACCGACCTTGAACTGATTGCTTTTTGTCATTATTCGCTCTGTTGGGTGTTTAACGGCCTTGACTGTTGCCTCAAATGTTTGGGCCCTTAAAAGCACCTTCTCTGCAAACTAGGCCTGTGTGACAGTCTAAAGGATGCAACTGTCCTGATCAAATGCGAGACTGCCCGACTGAACGATCTTTTAGCCAGTCAGTTTTTTCTTTTTTCATTTCTTTTTGCTTTTCCCTGCTGGACCCCGGAGGAATTTTAAGTGCATCACATGTCAATGTACCATACTGGCATAGGTTGGCGCTAATTTATTCCCAATGTCTCAAATCTTTCCCCAAACGACATTGCGCCAGCAGCACGCGTCTTCTGTCCCGTTTCTGGAGGGAAAAACCTTCGAAATGGCCCGTTGATCAAAACCCACCGGACCAGATTGTGCCTCGCCATTTTTACTTAAGTCCTGTTCTACTTAGATAGCACTCGCTCCAATACGTCTTACCAACATGTCCTTCATGCAGTCAAAGATTCCTGACGCTTGGTGTTCGATGAGAATCACGCTCATAAATAAACAATCTATTTATTTCGCCCTACATTCTCCCGTCCTAATGCATTCCTCTTAGCACTTCTGAAGCTGGCTGGAAGAGTTGCTTTAGATGTTATTACGCTCTTTTCCTCCAATTTCTCGGACCCTTCATAAGTCACATATGAAGCCGGACGTAGCACCTTGGAGGCTGTAGCTCTTGTGGTTAAGTCTGCTCGAAGAGATCTAGATAAGAGTTCTCGAATACGCCTCTGTATCCTGTGGTGTCCCGCGTCCCCTCCCCATTCTCCTCAGAAAGTACGTCTGTGTGCAACCCCCTCGGCTGGATTTATTCTTGGTTTGGAGCCTACTTTGCCTTTGACACCCAGTTTGTCTAGTCTGCCGAGCGTAATTCTACCATTCTCGCCACCAGCTGTGGAGTTCTCCAGGGTTCCGCCTTATCCTCGCACGTCCTCTCACCTCGCGCTGATGACCTCAGGTCGTCATCTTCTCAGTACCTTGGTGTCATCCTCTCTTTCAATCTCTCCTCCCCCCTTTATGGAAAAATCTCTCTTATCAAAATTTCTAAAATGGTTTATTACCTTCGTCATTTATGTCCTCATCACAAGCCTCAATCCATAATCTGGAGATTTATGCATGCTTGCATTCTCCCTCTCATTTTTATTGTCCTCCGGTGATTTTTTCAACCTTGTTAAAGAATGTCATACTCATTTTAAAACGTGTCCTTCGAATTGCTCTCTTCCACTGCAATTGTATTTATGACTTTTAGCTGATATCTCAATGCGCCGAAATTTCACAACGGTCAAGCAATTTCCAGACGGAATTCTGAATTATGTTGTTCATTCCCTTCACTCTGAACTAATGACTGCGAAATCTTTCCGTCCCATGTACTGTGGCTTCCGGCATACCTCATGTTGCTCGCTGACAGACTCATTTTCCGTATAATCGTTTCTAGCACGATGCCTTACGTGTAAAGAGAACGAAATACAGAATGTGGACTCGGATTGCCCCCATAATAATTGTACACTTTTTATGTAAACCCATCACATCTGTGACCTTGTTTTCTGGCCCCGGTGAAGGGGGAAGATTTTGCTGGAATTTCTTAATGATACTTCAAAAATAACACGTGGCCCTTTTTGTCTAGCCAAACTATGAGAAAACTAAGTCTTCCGAGGCAAAAAGTGGTGCTGTTCCAGCTTCAAAAAGTAGTAGAGGGACTATGCAACAAATATTTTATTTTTTGCAAACAACAATCCGTCGAAATTTAGCGTGCATCAGCGTACAAATAAACAGGGGCCAAGCTACTAGTGCAGTCGCGCTCGAGAAGCATTTTTTAAGAACGGATTGTTACAGAATTGAGTTATTTCTTCATGAGTTCGGACCGGTACTGAAACTCGCCTCAAACAGTTGACGACAGTGGACTTTACCACATGCTGAAACGTCGAAATGACCGACTGGTGATGGGTATTTTTACAACGAATTGTGCTGTGTTTGCAAATAAAAATGTGAGTGCGTTTAGACAAAGGATTTTCAGTAGGGCTCGTTACTATTTTTAGGGGAGGAAATCTAATTTTAATAATCGACAAATCCTCTGGTGTTCTAAAAATAACGCGCTTATTCGCGCCCTGTTTCATTTAACTCGCGCGAACCATAAAGCCAACTTCCAAATGCGCCAGGATTTTATGGTAGAACTCTGCAGGGCAGATTAATTTCTTTTCGTCGGAAAGCTATAAACATAGGAAATTGCCCATGTATAAGACAACTTTATTCTCCGCTTAAATTTGTAAATATTTTCCCCGATAAAATAGCTTGTGAGAAAATTTTGCATGAGCAAAAGGCATTTTATGGAATGTGTTGACGAGTGCGTAAAGGCCACAGAATGATCGTCCAGACTATGGTCTTTATGGCTCATGAGTTACTCCACGAAATAAAGTGCTGCTTAAACAGATTTATGGTTCTGCAGTCAGAAGGCAGAATGTCGGGAGCTCATGACGAATCTGACACAAACGGTGTCGCGAGGATTTTTTCTTTGTTTGTAGACAACCCTTTTCGTAATTTCGCTTCACACAAGGTAGCCGCCGTACCTCTGTCAGTGCTAGGACTACCGGGACATCCTCCAGGACTCCACAAGATTATCTCCTCCACGCCTACTACCGTGGTCTACTGCCATTTCAACGGCTGGGGTCCGCCCCAACTCTACCCGCACCTCCCCCCTGTGATGGTGGTCTTCTTGCCGAACCGTGTTGAGTGGGAATCAAGCCTCTTGTTGGTTCCTTCAGAATCGCAACTGAAAAAGGCGCTGCAACAGGTAATTTGCCTGACAGTTTATGCGTTCTCTCCGGGTCCTGCACAGTTTATGACAGCGTTCTTGTTAAACACGGCTACCAATGAGGCCTTTGTATCTTTTTTTCCTGTCGCTCGCGAACGCTAACATAGCGCTCAGGCCTCAACGCCCTTACACAAGTGCTGGTGAGCTGTTCTCTACTTGCTTAATTTTTTGAAGCATTTTTCTATGAGTTGACGTTAATATAAGCAAAAAATGGCTGATAGTTAGGCAGCACAAAGCGCCGAGGCCTTCAAATTTTCCATTTTAATTTGAAGAAAAAATAAAGCATAGTAGTCTTTGCGCATTCTACAGCAGCCCATATCATGAGTCACCATAAGATCAAGCGAAACAGGCAACGGCCGGTGTTTAGGCCCAATATTCCAGCGGCACATTTTTGCTGCCGAGTTGTGCAGTTACGAACACTTTGGGCTGTCCGCGTAGAACACTTGCTGACAGAGTCACAAAACGTGAGTAAGTGTTGGCTTCTATATCACCCAGTCGTAGGTGCAAACCATTTGGGCTATCTGCATTGAATACTTACTGACAAATAAAGAAAACGAGAGTATGCGTCCTTTTACGCTTTGTGGGATTGAAGGTTATCGGACCGGGCCAGTCACTGCATGCACCACGTTGTCGTCACTGCCTGAACGGTTTTAGACACGACGAAACTTCCCTGAGAAGAATTAACCAAATAGGACTTCGAAGGCTTGTTATGGTCTACTTGATCGATTTATGTTTTGGTCCCTGGTCAGACAGACCTGGAAAGTTAGATGGAAGACCCAGGAGTAGAAGAGGTCATAGATCTCGTTTGACTTTCAAGTTTTATTCTGGTGGGGGTTGTTTCGTGGTCGCCGCGGCTCATCAGCAGACCTCGCCTGACGACTGAGGTGTTCTACCAGCGTGTAGCCAAATTCCCTTACGGCCGTCATTTCGTTCTTCGGAACACGTATCAAACCCCATGAGCCGCAAATCAGACTCAGTAATTTTGGAGCAGTCGAATGTGATCATTAAACACCAGCCATGGAATATTTACTTGACTTCAACTAGGTGTTTGTCTGTGCATTTGATATTGTCTCTCTCCTTCTCCAGATGGAACTTGACGGCATTAATGACGCCAGCAAAACGTCCTTACGTCACTTACGAGTGGCACTCGCGGGCGTGAAGACATTATCTCGCTTTCTCCTCCTTGTGGGTGCAGTTGGACTTCTATCTGCCTTCCGGTTCGGAGACCTTGAAATGTCGGTTAAGTAAAATATCTTTTGTTTATTCTTTCCGATGAGCATGTCGTTTTCATGAGTTGCATAATATACAGGAGAGCCTAAATTATTTCAAATACTATCTTTGAGCGAGATAGCCCTATACAATGAACTATCATTTATACTCGGATGATTGCATTTCCTAAACTTTCTGGATATTTTTCAAAGGCAATGAAAAATCGATATCATTCACCTTTTCCCTCTCTTTAAGGTCGCTTTATGCATCCGGAGGTCTGACCTTTGGGACCAGTATTTTCCTGATAATGTTCTGCATTTGGTTCCAAAAACAGCTAGACCGAGTATACGCGGGCTTCAGCCAATTGGAATTTTTGACCGATGATGATGACACTGCCTGGGAGTAGGAATGATAATACGAACTTTGATCAATTTTGGAAGTTTTCTTCTGCGTTCGAGGCTGTATATGTAGTTTTTTTGCATAAAAATATACTACGTATGCTGCTTCAGGCCTTGTAAAAATTAATAAAAACTGGCATTTTTTGAAGAAATGAAATTGTGACCGAAATAAAATGTGATTTTTTGACAGAAATTCCGTCGCAGGACGAAAAGTCTGTGGGCTCCAGCCGTACCTTGACCTCCCGCCCCTAGTCGTCATCCGACCCAAGGCGCGGGGCGATGTCGGCTAGTCGATCCATAAATTGATTTTCCAAGGCTGAGAAGTACATGCGCCTTCACGCGTCCATCACCCACGCCGGGAGTCGACGAGCCTCACTTCATCTGGGCGAGTAAGCGAAGGATGCTGGCGCGGCTACGTGATTTGGAGGCGCTGGTTGTTCAGCGGCCGACAACCTCCGTCGAGAGATAGCCACTCAGCTACCTGAAAATCCGATGGGCTGGCCCCTACTTCTGGCAGTGGGTTTCGGGCAGCCGAATGCCCTAACAGTGCATGACGAGTTCTAATATCAACTGATAGCGCGTAAAATCGATATCTGTTTGACATGTTTATCTCGAAAAATCGATGTTTTCTCCATATTGGGTAGATGTGCTTTTGCTACCAGGGTAGGGTAGTTGTGGAAAAGGCCAACTTATGTAACTTCCGAACATGCACGGGACTCGATTTGGTAGTAACGACCCTATCGGTCCTTCCGGGTCTGCTGGGTAATTAAATGAGACGCACTTACCGGAAACGACGAGTTTCTTCCTCCGTCCTCGAATCTGAGAACAAATTGTAGCTATCTAGCGCACGTATCAGCCTGGGTCTTCAATGAATAGCCCCTTATTTTCACGGAAAACCTCGTCGCCATACCCGCAAATTCGGTGTTTTGGTGCCCTCTCTGATTCTTGCCTAAACACAATTAACGACAGGGAAAAGTCACCAAAAAAACACAAGTCAGTAACAACAAAAGGCAGGAAGTGCGGTCATGTCGCGCGTTCCACGCCGTTGCCACCCGATTATGTCGCGTTGGCGTGTGCACGACGTCGCAACGCGACTAAAGAACTGCAACCATTGAGCGACCAGATTACATCAGCGGAGTAACCAGTGGCTTGTCAGAGGTTCCTATCTCGAAAATTTGCGCTTTCAGTACACTGATTCGATGCCGATAGCTTTTGGGTAGTAGAGATCGAATACGTATTAAAGTCGCATCTAGTTTGACCCCTCAATCTGTTGAATTGACAATGAGTTAAAAATAGTCTCTTGTTCGAGGTTTTATCGATAAGAGCAACCAATCACAACACACACACACACACACATTTCCTGAGCGGATCCCTCAGCCTACCTATAACCGCTCATAAGCCAACCTTGAAAGAATCCATTAGTCGAATTGTGACTCCTATTTCCTTCCTATCAAGGGGCCCTCCAGCGCATATTCAACTGACATCTACCATCTGCTTCCACTAATCAGACTTTGGTCGTAGATTTTTGGTAGATAGGAAACGCCTGCTACTTTTCAATACATTTGTTGCCCTTTTTACATTGTCTTCCACCAGGGTAGTATAAGAACCCGGCCTGCTAAACGGGCTGCTTTCTTTTAGTCCGGTAATATCAGTGGATGATACTCACAAATACAGTAGATTTGCTAACTCATGAAATGTCAACCAAAATTTCGAAATGCGTTCTAGCTTCGAAAAGATAAATTAAGCAGTGTTGTAAAACTAATTATGATGCAGCATAAATCTATAATGATTCAGTTACCTCAGGGTGTCGGCTTTCGAAGGAACTTATTTTCGGCTGCATGCAAGATCTATACTCCGCAAAGAATGACTACACAAGTAGTATGCAATTTCCTCATTGATTTTCGATGTCCTTGAAAAGTCAATTATATTTCATGGAAAACATGCATAAAAATATTCATTCTTTTACTTATTCAGTAGAAAATCACGTCTTCTTCCAATTTCATACTCAAAAGAAGAGTATAATTCGGTTTTAAAAAACCTTTTGTAATTGAGATTTTTTAATACCGTTAAATGGCCGTTCATAAAACGTCATGTATCAGCAATTACGAATGTGGCTTATAAAGTTAACAATATTGCTCAAATCGACTGCTTAATTTTATGAACCTAATATGGTCTCATCTTAACACCGCAGAGAAATGCATGGTTTTCTGTACACGGAAAATGTACAGCTTGTAGTTTTGAGACCCTGAATGCAAGTGTATCAGCAGGTCGGGTTCAAAATTTTTCGGAAATTAGAAAGATTTTTTAAAACCAAATTATACTCTTCTTTTGAGTATGAAATTGGAAGAAGACGTGATTTTCTACTGAATAAGTAAAAGAATGAATATTTTTATGCATGTTTTCCATGAAATATAATTGACTTTTCAAGGACATCGAAAATCAATGAGAAAATTGCATACTACATTAGTAGTCATTTTTGGCAGAGTATAGATCTTGCATGCAACTAAAAATAAGTTCTTATGAAAGCCGACACTCTGAGGTAGCCGGATCATTATAGATTTATGCTGCATCATGATTAGTTTTACGACACTACCTAATTTATCTTTTCGAAACGAGTACGCATTTCGAAATTTTGGTTGACATTTTATGAGTTAGCACATTTACTTTACCTAAAACAGACATGGGCCAGGTAGGTGGGCCATTGGGCGAATGTCTGATCGAAAATGCACCATGGATAGTAAATCCGGTTTTGACATGTGTATTTCCAGCCTGGGACTGAGCCTCAAATGTTTTTTTTTGATTTTCCGTTGGAACCTACACAGTCTAAGCGTAATGTATAGCGGAAAAACGCACACAGAGCGCGTAGAATGGCCTTCAAAAAACAATGAGAATATCGGGATACCTAAATTAACCCCAGAACTTCCGATTGCGGCGTTTCAGCAGATACAGCTGGAAACAAACGAGACACATTAAGGAAAAATGGGGTTTCTTCATTTCTGTTTATTTAAGCCAATGGTGGTTAGTCGCTGGCTTTGGTGAGAACTCTTGCGGGATTTTTCTAACCTCCGAGCCGTCTCTGGGTTTATTTTGGACACGATCAGAAATCATCAGGTAAATGCGGCTTTTGTTCCAGAAGTGTATTTATCCCACTCGCGGCATAGTCGTAATTCTGTTCAATTTGGATAGAATCTGCCCTTACCTAAAAATTTCAATGACAGGGATAGCTCACCGATCGTTCTTACGGAACTCATTCGTTCCGTTGTGTGTTACGGGCTATCTCTCGAGCCCAACCAGTAGCCACACAGCGGCGCATAATATAGGCAGAATGGTATTACCGATAAAGACAAGGGAGACTGGAATGGTCAGTTCTGGCTTATTGGCCGTCGTCAGCCAGTCATACCCAATCCCGAGGCTCGAACTCGCGACCCGTTAGTTAGAAGTCCACGCCTCAAACCACCGGGCCACGAGTCCCTTATCCTGTCGGTTTCGATCGGGAATAGACAATGGTAGGGATAGCTCATCGATCGTTCATACGGAACTAACTTGTTCTGTTGTGCCTTACGAGCTTTCTCTCATGAGCCCAACCAGCAGCCGCACTGCGACGCACGATATAGGCAGAATGGCATTACTGACAAAGACAAGGTAGACTGGAATGGCCATTTCCGGCATCTGCCGTCCGTAATCTTTTGTTATGTCTACTCGTTACAGCAGTCAGGCTATCACAAAAAACGACGTTTGCCGCTTGTCCCACCGAGCGAGTTCTGCGTGATTAAGTTTATAATGAGACGGACAACCGCAGTTTCCCCTCCAGCAACGATGGCAGGAAAAAGTCCGGACTGCCGAAAGCAGACGCGTTACAAGACTCCCCTACGCCCGCCACACACGACCTTGTCCCCAATCCAGATGTACTCACCCCGCAAAATACACAGGGTACGATAGGTTCTGACAGCGTGATTAGAAGGAAGAGATGCAGAGAGAACTGCCGCCTTGATCCTCCCAGGTATTCGAGACACTGTTCGCCTTGTGGACATTAAAATAGCTTCTTAAACAGTCTAAAGCATGCCGCATACCTGCATCATCTGTTAGTCACAGCAAAATTAGTGACGGTTGGGGTAAACACTTTGGCCCCGCGAGCACAAAAGGATCCCATCCTGACCCTGTGGGTGTCTTGACCCAACTTAAATAACTTCGGACCCTGTTGCAACTTGATGCATGCTAAGCACTCCTAATTACTCGCGCTTTGTGGCATGTTATTGCAGTCGGTCGCTTGCAGTTATAGCGTCTCAACCACATGCTTTTTATCGAGTTCACGGCTCGAGACACTTTCTCGACGGCATGTGGATGGAGAAATGTGTTGGCAGTTAAATAATGCAAGGAATTTTTGGAAGAAACAATAAGCAATTCTCGCTCGGGGTCTTTAGTCGGATGCTTACAGTAAACGGCCCTCGACAAGGTTTTCGGCAACCCAAATTAACTGTCGCCTGTTGAGCTCGAAAAACCGACTACAAACGGGAAATGAAGGAGGTCAGAACATCCCGCACTCGTTGGGAGGTGCACTGCAAATGGAAAGCTCGTGAAACAGTAACCGACAGCTTCTAAGCGTCAGAAAACATTATTTAGGTGGGATTGAAGAGACTGCAGTCATGTATACTCCCCGACTTACTCAGAAAAGCACGTCCTTTAAAGATGGAGTATTCGAACGCTAGGGAATTCACATGCTACATCGTCTTCAGTACCTCTTTTGAATCTTGACCACAGCATGCCTTGGACATATTTCTGAGCTTCCAACACCACGCGGTTTTAAGATTCCTACAGAATTGAACCAACATAGCATTCAAATCGCGCCAGCAGACGCGTATGTGAACTCTCAGAGTCGAGCGGTTTAAGTGGCTTCTAAGCCCTTGCATAATTTTTCCACACCGAAACTGTATGGTCTTTCGAGAGGGTGCTTAGGAGGCCCTTCTAGTGAAAATAGACGATTAAGCACCATGCTAGTATCGAATCTCAA